AATTTGTTGAGCGTTCCCTTCCTGTGAAGAATTGAAACTCAAATGTCTAAACGAGAGAAAATCTCACTGCAAGAATCCCACAAGTGGATGAAAGCAATGGATAGATGGACTAATATGACTCTGGAAAACTTGTCTGTTTTCAGTTTAAAGCATGTCAGCTTTAAGTAAATAACTGAGGTCAGATTTCTGATCTCATGCTCAAACCCTGCAATTGTTTAAGGGTGCACTTACATTTACCCCTCAGTGTCAACTCTATTGATGTATGTTGGACAAAAACAACTAAAGCTGGATTCACATTTGCATTGATTTCTGTTAGTATAGTTTGCCAGATGGTGATAAACAAAAGCAAAACATGTAAGAAATTCAAAGTTCAGATACGGTTAAAAGTCACAGTAAAAACACTTGGATGTCTCAATTTAGATTTATTGAACAATTTAAAGAGAAACATTTTCTAGTTAGGGAAAAACAACAAATGAACTAGTTAATAAATATAAACTGTTATAATCAATCAGCATCCTACCATTCAGTTTTGGTAAACCATAGTTGCCTGAGATTTTTAGGTCAATAAACAGGTGTCCAAACATAAAAAAGTGCAGCATATCTCAACATCTACTCACCACAGCTTTTAACATTTCACATGTAGTGCCATACTGTCAAAATACTATTCTTAAGCACTTCTTCTGGTCCGATCAATATTTAGATGGCTCCCTCACTTTCTGTATCACTAGTGCATAGATTTGTGTGATATCAAAAGCGTGCAGTTCACATTCATCACTGGTGTGGATAAATAACCTTGTTACGTATAAACAACTAATAAACAATCATGGCATCTGGACCAAGTAGTCCAACATTTCCAAGCTGCATCTCTGCTCAAGTTTCATGATAAGTTGCATTGCAGTTCAAGTCTCGTCCTGCTGCCTGCTGGGGGCTTCGTTACGTACTCCTGCTCAAGTATTTAATGTCACTTTCTTCTGGCAGCCGTGGTTCTTCGTTCATCCAGGTTAATAACTGATGCATAACTCTGCTTTGTGGTGGAGGCAGTGGCTAAACTTTAATATCTTCATGATTCACTGAGCTCCTGGCTTTCAAATTTGCAGAACAAATAATCAGCAGTTTTGTTTAAAGGTTTGCTTCTGCCTACCAAACAGAAAAGATTCTGTTATCTAGATATCCTGATAGCTTAGATTTGTATTAAAAAGAGTTTCTTTAAAGTCAAGTACATAATCCGTTAGAAGTTAAACTTATGACTGGAGACCAAGATGCCTCTCTGAGCTACAGAGGGTTGGGCACAGAGGAAATATAGCATATAAACATTTGGCAGTTGGGCTTGACTTCTTAAATGTCACCTGAATCTTTTGAGATTAGTAAGTATCATTTTAGAAGTTATCTGCAGATCATTAAGGAAAATAGATTTCTTATAAAAACTCAGAAGTGAAAAGAAGAGGAGAGTCTTTTAAAGCTTGTGTATTTACATGCTAAACAAACGGTGGCATCATTTTTACCTATTCATAGCAAGACTGTAGAAAATTGGAGTGTCTGAGATAAAACTGAATTAAGTATGAAGTTATACTACTGATGAAAGGAACACTAAAGAAAAACAGTATTGCTGAGTTTCCACAGGAGGCTACAGCACAGTCCACAACGGTTAAAGAGGAACGGTTTAAAGACTAAAGCCTGGCAGGTGGAAGGAGGGAAGTTTTAGGTCAATATACGAGCTACTTGGGCCTGAATCTCCCCAGCGGGGTGTGAAAGCAGCCGGACAAGTTTGCCGTGCAGCTGGGAGGATTCATCCAGCATGACCCGGAACAGACAGTCCTGTTTTCGTCTAAGTTCGTCGGCCACCTGTGCTGAGGGCCTCCAGGCCTTCAAGTTCCCTACAAAGGTTAGCAGTCGCAGCAGCACAGCCGTAGACGTTCGTTCATCAAAGAGAAGCAGCACAGATGCAGGAGCCTGGGTCCCAAAGCAAAGAGTAAAGAAGTCAGTTTGTTTTGATGCATTTCTACAGAAAGATATGCTAACTGACTGGACGATAAAAAACGAGTACCTGAGCTTGAACTATGTCATCCATCATATCTGGATTAGATGATAAATTAACAAGAACTTTCAAGGTCTGAACCTGAAAGAGAAACAGAAAAAATTCACAGATTTCCTCTTGACTGTTGGACAGCAATGTGTTGCTCCATTTGTTTTCAAAGTCGCTTAAAGATTAAACTCAATTCCACAAACCTGTAATGCTTCACTGCCGACAACCAGCAGAGACAATAAAAGAGTGACCGATCCCTTCAGCAAAGGCTGATGTTTGTCTGTGACTGAGAGGTTCGTCAGCAGCCGCAAAGCACCCAGCTGAAGGTCAGAGTTCACTGCAGACATTTCAATCAGTTCCAGCACTTGTGGCACATAAAGCTTCAATAGAAGAATAAAAAGACATCAATGCATCAAGTAGAGCCTCATTAAAGTCAGCTGGCTGTTGTGTGGTGTAACGTTTACAGCAACGTACCTTTATTTGCTCCTGGTTTTGGATATTCATACTCAAATTATTTAAAGCATTCAGAGCTTGCACTCTAACCTCTGGAGCAGGATCAGAAAGGAAGCCAGCTATGACAGGAATCCCTTCTAATTCACGAATTTGGTTCTGAAGAAAAAGGCAAAAAACAGTAGATGAGGAGCTATGATCAAAAAACCGATGTATTCTACACTGATATCAAGAATAAAAGTAATTAGTGAATGCTCACAGTTTAGTTTGAGAAGATTATCAAAGTTGCCTTAACTTAATTTGTTTAACATTGATTAGTAGTTTACAAAATAAACAAAAGAAAAAATAATCAGCAAGTGGAAATGGTTCAACATTCTATGTCAGCTGAACCATTTCTGGGCTTTTTTTGGCCATGAGTTTATTCTACTGCATGACCCAATTATCCATTTTCAGTTTTCTAGTTCGGTCTGGCACTTATTATGAACATCCTGACACTTGAAGGAATTAATGATGTGATTTATTCTAACAAGGATTCCAGAAATTTGGGGCCAATATTCCCACAGCATCACAGATCTACCACCCTGCAGAAGCAGTGGTAGATGTACAAAATTAATTTTAGTATCAGCTCACCAAAACATATTACTAAGGTTTAAGCCACAGGTCACCAAACTCTTTTCTGTATTTTAGTGATAGGGCAGGGAATGCCCCTTGAAATAGTGAAAAACAACAACACTAAATGTACATGTTTAGCAACTGATTGGTTCAGTTGTTTCCATTCGACGACAAACAAACAGAATCCACAGGGCCCAGAAAATGAGAGTTTGTCCTTGTTGGTTGTGCCAAAAGGTTTCATTGTACCTGATTTACGGTGAAGGCAGCAGCGTTTCCCAGCGTGAGAAGAAACTGAGCCCGATTAGATACGTCATCGATGGTCTGCAAACGTGACAGCAGCATCTTCAAGTGATGCATCTCCAGTTTGTTGGGAGATTGATGGACGATCTCTCCTTCAATGCAAAAAAAATAAAACAAATGAATAAATAGTTATTGCATTCTGGAAAACTAAATATGAAGAGGCGGATTTGTTAACAGATCAGGATTTAAATCTTAATTAAATTGCATTTTTAAACAAGAGATCAGAAGTTAACTTTCTATTGTGAGTGCAGTGTAACTTTTTAATATTTACCTGATGTAGCATCATCTGTTCGGGCACAGACTACATCCAGTCCGGATACTTTCGCTAGCAGACTCCCCGGCCCTAGCTTCATCCCTCCCTGCTGGCTGCTCTTCACGCTGGGACTTTCATTATGGGGATTTTTCCTGGTTTTCTTGAAAACTTGCCCGCTGATAAGTTTGTACAGTCCGTAAGAAGCGCCAGCACCCGCAACAATTCCCAGCAGAGCCTTCATGTTGCCGAGCCTTGGGATAACACTGCCATCACCCATGCTGCTAATCTCTGCTAGCTGCTTAGCAATTAGCTGCAGATGTTCCGAAACGTTTGAAAATTAAGCGGTTATCAAACTAACCGAGGTCATATGTTAGCCAGCAGTGGTTAAAAACTTCGCCCTGAAACAATTGACCGTTTTCATTGTTGTAAGGACTACACAACTTTGCTGAAAAGCTACAGTTGTCAAGTTGTCAACCTCATCAGTTGGACCGTTTTAAGGCCAACCAAAAGTTTTCCTGAGTTACTTGCATAAAACTTCTTTTACGTTTTGGCTCAACTTTTTGCAATATATTGTGATATTAAACTTATTTTTTAAGTGTTACGTGTTTTGATTACATATTAAATAGTTTGAGCTAAAATCGTGAATTAAACTGCGATAAATCTCCCAGCGTTAGTTTTAGTTGTCCAATGTTCCTCCCTGTGGCAAACTGGCTGTGGCTTTATTTGTAATCCCTGAGAGCTGAGTTAGATAACAATAAAATAATATAAATGTAATTCTGATTTATTACTCACGCTTGATACAGTCTCTGCAGCTTATTTTTACAGTTGCAACTGCAAGTGGTGTTCTTGTTAAATTTCTGACTAGATATTCAACCTTCTCTGGTGGGATAGGGTTGCATTTTTGATTGGGCGGGGTAAAAATAGGCCATGTGTTATTTTAGGTTGCTAATATGGCACAGTTGTTGACCAGTCACACAACCTTGACCAGGTATAATAATTATAGGGGGGGAACAAACAAAAAAAAACCATTTGCACCTTTAAATTCTGCCATCATTGTCCCAACTGGAAAGAGGCCAAAGTACTAGTATTGCACTAGTAGTTTAAAACAAAAATCCATAGAGGCAGGCTTTTTTAAATGCAAGAGTGGACAACCAGACCAAATTAGTTAAATACAAACCACTTAAGTCAATTTTAAAAACATCCTAATATAACTTCAGTACAAATTCCACTTAATAGCTAATTAACAAGTTAAACAAAAACAGAAGAATTTGTCACTTCTTGAGGTCAGTAGCCAAGTACTGCACAGCACTGCTTTAGCCACTATCTTAAAGAGATTCCAACAGCTAGGGACAAATTAAATGGATACTACAATTTACCTGGCACACTCAAACGATATTTAATAAATATACAACCGTCTTGCCATAGCCTCTGCTCAATCCTTCCGTTACCTAGCAACAACGCTTTTCGAAATCGAAATGTCTGACTAAATAGAAATGAAATCGTGCTAACGGAGAAGCAGACACATACATCGAGCTAGTCAGCTGAGCCGCACACAGAAAACATGGCGGCTGCAGAAACGGACCGAAGCTTGAAGATGAGTGAAATTAAACAATGCCTCCCACATATAAGCAAGGTAGGCTGTACAACGTGGAAGAGTTTTACGCATAAGCATCCAAGTAGATACGGATAGTTAAGCGCTCATGAACCTTTAAAACTGGCTTTAAAACACATATCAACTTTCCTTCGACAGGCATTGTTGACAGCCGCCTGTTTGACGTATCCCAATGAACCGGTGGAGTTCCTGAAAAGAGTGCTTATTGCATTCCAGGGACATGATAATCTGAGAACTGTCGACTGGTATGTACCGCCTGCGTTTGATAAAACAACCGCTTGGTGGCTCCATTTCTCATGTATTTTGTCTTGGATAAAGGGGGAACACCAACTCTGCAATTTTCACTGCAGTCATACAATTCATACAATCTAATGAAAGTTTTTTTTTTTGTTTTGTTTTGCAGGCAAAAATTTGTTGATTATGTAAACGATTTCATAAAAAAAGATTCTCTGAAATCCAAAGCTGTAGAAACAAGTTCCCAAAGCACCCAAATGGTATTATACAAGTATGTAATAGTGAAATACAGATTTTGGAAGTGAATACATTTTAATTTAGGCATTTATGTGCTTTGCAGGAGCGATACTGTCAATTGGAAAAGGCTGCCTCTTGTTACATGAGACACTTACTGGGTATGTGCTTCAGGTAGGTCTACACTTGTGCTATCAAGAATTACAAGCGCTCAGTGCAATTTAAAGAAATCTATACAGACATGTGGCATACCCTTTTGTGACTTCAGGAAGCTTTCTCCCAATTTTTCCCCAAGTCATTTTGCAAATTGAAGTGAGAACGGCATCTATGTACAATATCTTAAAGCAGATTTCCATTGCCGTTTATCAGCCTCGTCCGTTTGCAACAGGTCCTTGTCAAAACGTCGTCGCCCTCCTGGAGCGGTTTTTGGACTTGATGTATGCCTTCACAGAGGAGCGGGAGGATTTTTGGGGCTTTGGGTGAGAAGAACTTTTTGTGTTCTTCCGGATCCAGTTCAGATCTGCATCTCTGGGTTCAGACAACAGCTCCGAGGGCCAAGAGGCAAAGTTAGTGGCTCCGTTTCCATGGTTTCAGAAAGCATCTGTGAGCGGTCTGGCTGGCTTATGGGTTTTAGCAAGCCAGCTTTCATTGCTTCTTCATAGCCACTATTTAGGAAAAGGAATTTGTCTTGAGGAGAAAAGGAGCTCAGGCGACCCCGAGGGGAGATTTCTTTCTGGATAGCTTTATGTGGAGTGAAAACATTTTCATTTGGCTTGTAACGAGCAAAATTGTATTCCGGATGGGCAGCCAGAATAAACGGACCGGAGTGGAACTTTTGGTGTCTGAAAGTGCCGGAACGTCCAGTCGGGTCATGCGTTGGACTGAAAGGTTGCACGCTGAATCCAAAGTGAAAACCACCCTGCTCCTTTTGAGGTTTATTTGCATCCAACTCAAAATGTGAAAAGAGAAATTTTGAAGGTATCTGCAGCAGGTATCATGCTTGCAGATACCTGCCGCAAGCATGTGGGAGGATACACTCCGTCATTTGATCTCTTGCCAACACTGGATTCGTATGCATGAAAGGACTTGGATGCTTTCTTCTCCTTTAAGCCTTCAACATTTGGAATGTAGATATAATTTTTTGGTATGAAGTAATTCAAAGATGGGGGTTTGTGTAGAGAAAGGACATGAGATTGACCCACCCTGTGGAATCCCTTACTGTTGTCGGCACCAGATGAAAACACAGGGATGCATTTCGCCTTAAGGTCCTTTGACCTGTAACGTAGAGAACTAAACTAGATCTCCTCACTGAAAAGAAGATGAAATCTTGAGATGGGCGGTCAAAAACAGCTACCGTTTTATGATTGATGAATGAATCACCAGAGAATCTGCTCAAGGGGAATTTTCTCTGCTCATAGCCTGACTGAACATGACTGTTTTTGGAAACACTCAAGAAAGCGTCTTTGCGTCCACAGGTGGACTATCATTGGTATGACACTTGACATAACAATGTCAAATGACTGGATAAACATTTGGCGACTGTAAAACATGTAACCGCTTGAAGAGTAGAAGGGATGATGTTTTGAGTGAAATGAGGAGGCTTTGTGAAGAAGCTGTATTCATCCACTTCTTGGTTATTTTGATCTCGTCTGCTCAAGACGTTTTGTTCATTTTCACCTTCGGTGTCTTTATCCACCATATCTGGTTGGCTTTGCACCATCTCTTCAGGGAAGCTGCCAACAGAGCCAAAACCCAACACGTCTTCATGGAAAATTGGTTTACTCTGCAGTGAAACAAAGCTTTGCTCCCGTTTAGTCTGTGGACCTCTGGCCAGGCCTTATTTAAACGGCCTTATTTCTCCTGTTGCCTAACCTGTTGTACATTGTCTCCATGTGCAGTATTATAACCGATCAGGAAACAAACAACACATTATTTTCACTGGGATTTAAACGGAGGGGGGTAAAAAACTCCTGACATGCTTATCAGTTTGAGGAGGAAAGCAGATGCAGCCCCATAAAAGCATGCATAACCAGGAAACCCTGAAACACTGAAATATTTATAGATAGAAAGCAATCAAGCTAATTAGGGCAAAACATCTATATAAAATGCAACACGTGTTTATACCCAAATGAAAGATCCATGACAGCACATGCAGCAGCAGAGCGGAAACAGCAGACCCCTGATGAAAACTGCAGCTGCCTGTTTGGTAATCTGCCTAAATACCTGCAGGTGCAGCAGCTCTTCAGAGGTCACTAAGAAAAGGAAAAAAACATCAGGACTTCACATTAAGAATAAATCAGTCAACGAATACGCCAAGGTTGTTTTGTTTCTGAAGGCAGCTAGGTTATTTTGCTACATTTATTTTCATCTCTTCTTTCTGCCTCCAGATCCACCTTCCAGTCTAGTGGCGGCAGGAATTCACTTAAAAAAGCTTGCCAGCTACCAATCAGATATAAAGAGGAAGCATGCATACAGACTTACAGGAATGCACTTCTATTTTATTCCCTACATTTCCTGTTCCTGGCAATCCGTATGTTTTAAATGCATTTTCCTTCTCGGAATAATTTCAGCAGTGGATGCGTTTTATGTGAACACTGGAAGTCGTCTCTGTTATCCTTATTTCTCCTGTTTCCTAACAATGAAACTCTAGAAGATAAAATAGATTTGATTAGCAAATATTAGGTTGGACCCACTGCTGTATAATTAATGCATGGACCCCTCACAGCCTCTCTTTTGTCCCTGTTGACTGAATTATTGATGAGTTGTGCCTGCCGTGGTGTGACAGGGCGTGGAAGAAGTTCATTCAGCAGAAGAAAAACGAAATCTTAGCGATGGCTCTGCAGATGCAGGTGGCAAAGATGTATGCTGAGGAGAAGTGCCAGAAAGCTGCATTCTTTGGATGGCTGATCTTTGAGAAGTCATACAGGAAGAGAAAAGCAGGTAGGTGATGGTGAGAAATGATAATGAATGCTGCTGATTTATTGCATTTGAAAGGCATCCCACTCCAGTTAGTGAAGCCAGAGAAAACATTTGCTGTGGTTAAATATGTCCAAGCTGAAAATCCTTCCAGATGCTGTTGGATTGCTCCAGTCTAGTGACTCATTTTATCCTGAAAGTAGCTAGAGACTGGCAATAAATTCTGAACTCTTAGGGGGCATGTTTGCTGAAATTTTTTTTATTTTTCGAGTTAATGTCATGCTAAAGCAATATCCCTTCCCTACACAGCACTTTAAATGAATCGAGGGCTAAAGCCAATACTCTCATAATAGGGTGAGAATGGCATGACCTCGGCATATAATAGATCTTTAATGCAACGGAGCAGAGTAGAGCGAGCAAAAACATACATTTTAGAATTAAATTAATAAAATATTACAGCAGGCATTTGAGTTTTTTAGAGGGGACAAGAGGGAGGGGACACACTGAACAGGTCGGCATTTCATCGCAGGGCAACGCAGACGCACACAGGACACGCTCTCCCACACACACATAATATTTCTTTCTATCTTCACCAGGACTTCCATTCAATTTTATTTTTCCGTAGCTTAACCCTGACTTTTATGCTAAACCTAACCTGAACTCTGTTCACACCTTAGTTTTAAACCTAACCCATAACCCAAAAGCCTTAAAGGCCTCTTGGTCTTCAGAAGGTCAGTACATATGACAGAAATCATCTTAAGTAGCATAGGTGGGCAAGTACACACACAAACTAACACCTAAGGGCAATTTACAGTAATAGATTGATCTAACAGTCATGATTACCAAACATATTCTGGGAAGCCAAAGCGTCCAGAGAAATATTATCATTATTATCATCATTGTTTAAGACGTGAACTGGCAGACTATTCAGTTAGGTATAAAAAAAGATGTTTTTTTTAATATCACGTTCATTGTTAAAGAAAAGTTTCTCATTCATTTAGCCGCCATTGCGAAACTTCAGAATCTGGTGTACAAAGTCCGCTTCAACCGCTACATAACAGCTTGGCACGTCGTTACTATGGATGCAAAGAGGCGAAGAGAGTATTTTGAGGTACTAAAGATATTCCTCTGAAAGTACGTTAAACATAAGTTGCTTTCTCATTTACCAGTTCTCGTTCTTATATAACTGGCAGAGGTTGGAGGCAAATGTCAAAGAATTCGACAGTAAAGGTCAGCGGCCTTCTAAGACTCATCTGCTCGAGAAAAGAGTTGATGGAATCTCAGACCTCCCTCATCACCTGTCACTGAAGGTACCTCATCTGCAGCTCTCACCATTCATTTGTTTAGATAGTATTGTTAGTATTATCCTGGTCTTCATGTTGAAGCTCCAGCTATTCTGTTCCCCTCTGTAAGGAGTCAGTGGTGAGATAATTTGTGTTATTTTAGGCAGTGTGTGAACTCTGTTGTAATCCTGCATACAGGTTCTCTGAGTGATTAAACTCAGATGCAGATCATTATAGTTTTATTGCAGTCTGTATCTCATGCATATATTTATACATGATTTATATCCACTAAAGTAAGAGCCGTTTTAACTTGGTCTATTATTAGCCATGCTTGCTCGCTCCACTTTTAGCCTTTGATTGTTTTGGATTCACAGCAGCTGGCAAAGTGAGAGATTTGTTGGCCTTCCTTACTCTGGTGTTTCTATAGAGAGTATCGCCTGATAAATTGTGCTTCGGCATGACTATGTTTGGAAACAGACAGGGGCTGCTTGCTTACATATCTCTGCCATAAAAAGTGGCAAAAGGGACGATGAACCCAGTCTGGGTTCTGTCAGTACCCAGTCTGGGTTCTGTGAAACCAAGGAACAACTATCAATCTGTCAGCATCAAAGTTGTGTCATAGTTTTTGTCTGAATTTCTGTGCCAGTGTCTTTTGCCTGAAACTTGTGTAAATCTCTTTTTTGTTCTCAGATCTTTCAGTATTTAGAATTAAGGGACTGGCTAAACTGTTCTGAGGTGTCCAATACCTGGAAAGCGATTGTCCACTCAGGCTCGTTGTGGAGTCAGGTCTGTGCTGTGAAATATTTATAGAGGATTAGTACAAATAAATATTCATGCTCGTTAAAACTTCAGTGCCATTCATTGGGGTTTTATGTGACACACTAAATAAAAAATAACCCGAAACATAATAAAGGAAAATGACAGTAGTAGTAGTAGTTTTTAAAGACTGTGTCATAGTTTTACAACATGACCCCTTTAACTTTAAAAACCCCAAATAAGATCCATCAGAAGTCAATTGATGATTAGTTTTTTTGTCTGCAATTTAATCTCAATGTAAATACAGCAGTACATTGAAGAACATCAGAAAGCAAACAGCATCATGAAGACTAATGAACACAGCAGACAGGACAGGGAGAAGTTTACTGCAAGGTTAGCTCATAAAATATACAACATTTAAGTATTTCAAAGAGCTCTTTTCAATCCACTATCTGGAAATAGAAAGAATATGGCACAGCTACAAACCTTGGTTTAGGGTTTAACTCCGAAACCAACTGACCAGGGGAGAAGAGATGTATCAGAGACACAATAAGAAGACCTGTCAGCCATTTTGAGGACTGAAAGAACACGCTCTGGTCAGATGAGGCCAAAATATAACTTTTTATCCTGCATGCTGAACAAAGTCACACATAGTAAAACATGCAGGGAGCAGCAGAATATTTTTCTTTAGTAGGGGCAGGGAAGCTGCTATGTCATGATATCGAGATGGTTGGAGCTAAATGGAGCACAATCCTTGAAACCTGTTTTCTGTCCCAGAGGTTTATTTTCCTGCAGGACAATAACCTAAAACAGAGAGCTACAAAGTAATGGGTCAGACCAAAGTATATTTGTCCATTAAAAAGCCACAATTAAAGCTTAGACTGATTTCCAACTAAGAATCTGAGCAAATAAATTAAACTGAATGAGCTGGAACTATTTTACAAAGAAGAATGAGCATAAATCTATTTCTCTAGATGTGCAAACCTGATAGAGACATCAGTATGAAGTGCAGAAAATGGTGACTCTACACAAAGCATTTCAGCTTTTTATTTATAAAATAATTCAAACCCATATAAATATCTCCTTGAACTTCATATTTAGTTGTTTTGTTCTATCTGAAAATATCTGTGCCTATAATGTTACATAATCTGAAAAAGCTGAAGTAGGTTGAATACCATTAGTACAGTGGTAAAGGTTCATGCCTAAAGTGTTTTTGTCTCTGCTAGATTGACTTCTCGGTGGGGAAAGACTGGGTAACAGATGCTATAGTGCAGAAAATACTGAAGAGCTACCGGCCCTTTGTGACCCACCTGAACCTGCGCGGCTGCCATTCGACAAAATGGTCCAGCTTAAAATATATCAGTGAGTTTTAATTTCTTTATTTGTGGTTTTTTTTAATGTCTTTTACTTGTGCCAATACCCACAGGTGATCAAATGTAAGCTGTGCTGTTTAAAATGCTAAAGTCAAACCAGCTGCAGTGGGACTGTTCATATTATGAATTACCTGACAAACTGTAACAAGAAAAAATCAAAATGCAAAAAACATAGCAATGAGATGCAGACTGTTGTACTGTATTGACAGAAAGGGAGAAATGAAAAGTCTTTATTAAAAACAAATCATTTGAGTCAGGCCAGTCGGAAGATCTGGTATTTTTGTGCCACTCTCAGATGGCTCGGCTCCAACTCTTCTTCTTCTATTTCTCCTTGTAGTTCCATTGGTGAGTCCCAAAGCTCGGCGTCCCTTTGGTTTTGATCCGGTCTGCTGAGCTGTCTGTCTTTAGGACAGTCTCTGTTGTAAGAATGCACATAGTCCTCCACTCTCTCCCCATTATATTCTAGGGGAGATTGGCAAAGCAGGCCAGAGTGCTTCACCCCTGGATGCAGACGTAGCCAATACACCATGTAGTGTATGCTGGGGGGTGGAGGGAGAAAAAGTAAGCAATTATTAGAATAAGTCTTTGGAGTCTTTGTCAGCGGTTTGGGGGTGGAACTCACTTGTAGTCGCACATCCAAGGATTTCCTCCTAGTTTTAGCTTGGACAAGAAGTACAAATCTTCAAGAACTCCATACTGAACAAAATGCAGCCTGTTGGATGACAGGTCCAGCTCTTGAAGGTGTAAAAGTCCAGACAGGGACCCTGCAAAACAGTAGAACAGTGATTGACTCGTGAGAAGACGTACCTAAACAGTCGTACCACCATGCCACAAACATTTTAAAACACAAGAAGCTCTATTTCTTATTTGTTTTCATTGCATGAGGGATTGAAGGATGGAAATTATTTATGCATTCTAGTTTTGCACAGAAGCTGAAACTCTCAAGTTTCTAGTTAAATACATTAACGTTCGAAATCCTTGTAGCTTTTGCTTTCAGACACAGAAATGCATTAATAATGCAGTACATTCTATTCCAAAGCAAAACGAGAGGAGAAGTTTATCAGTTGTGTTGTTATTCTGAAGAAAGTGATGGAAACTTTGAGCAATTACCTGAGAGCTGTTATTGCAGCCAAGGACAATTTGATTTCACTCCACAGTTCCTGCATTTCTTGGTTTTTGACTCAGAAGCAGCATATTTTATGCTACCCACATGTTTACTATTGGATAAACTTCAAGAGGCTTTCCACTCTGCAATATTTATTTTGTAGGTCTGGAACCAAGATGCAGGTGTGACACAATTAGGCCCAACACCACAGTTTGTAAAATATCGTCCATATCATGATGTCTGAGCCACTGTGCTTCACAGTGCATGAATTTAATGTTTGAGGGACCTCTGACAAACTGTCCGAAGGTGTTGCACCATTTCTTTTAAAACCAGTAAATGTGCGCTTTCCTCTTCAGCCAGTTTTCAGAGGCGTGCAGAGGTTTCTTGCCTTTAGCTTGACTTCACATTGGGTCTGTTGATGGTTATAGTTTTCTCTTGAATTATTCTTTGATTACCCTGGAAATGATCAGTGATTAAGTCTATTTTCTGTCAATACGGTACAACAGTCTGCGTCAGGTTTTGCATTTTCTTCCCAATCTGCCTCACTTAAATTTTTTCTTTAAGCTTTTGAATTCAGTCAGTCAAGCATCCAATCATTTTTGGCACTATTTCAGATATTTCACACTTTCAAATCAACTTTTTAATCAAGATTCCTGAACAATGTCAGGATTGGCCATTTTCCCCAGATTTCAACATTTAAGCTGCATTATTTAACGTTTGCAAAATACATTTTTCTATATTGTATGTTATATTATATGTTGTTATAATATAATATTGGACAGATAAGCTTTGAAAAAAATCAAGCTCCTCCTCCTCCCTGAGGTATGATTGCTGTCTGAAGAAATGCACAGCTCCCAGTCAAAAACAACCAATCAGAGCCAGTCAAGTATACTAACTTGACTTATCAGGTGCCTTTAGTTTGTATTCCTTCCTGTAGATGGACTGGTTCATTTTTTTTTTTACCAGAACCAAGTTCGGACTGAAGTTAAATAGATTTCAGTTTAAGTCGCCAGCGGGATTAGCTGCTGGTCTGCTGATGTTAAATTCAGTTCCTACCAGTGGGCCGTGATTTACTCAAACACAGCGAGGCTATATATCAGCATGTCTCCTTGTATACCTCGTCATAAATAAAGCTAAGCCTGTATATACATGTATGGCTGAATGCCCACCACTGCTCAAAATAAAAAAGGGGAAAACTGAAGCCACAGCAGTTGTTTAACTGTTCCCCACCTTTTGGACTTCAGATTAAGATAAACACAACCGTATAAGTGCAGCAATTCATTCTAAGTATTACCGAGATGATTACATACAGGACATGTTATTATATCCAGTAATCCTGATGAATCTGTGAGCATGGGGGGTAACACTTACCCGTGTCGATCCGCTGCATGTCGTTGTTGCTGAGGTTTAGGATTCTGAGACTTTTTGCTCCTTGAAAATCTCTGGGTTTAAGATGGTGGATTTGATTAAGGGACAGATCGACCCGAACAACACTGTCTGGAATACCTGAAGGCACCTCAGTTAGACCTGGACAGACACAGGAAGGGTACATTTACATTTATTTATTGCAACTTTTTTTTATCCATATTCACCTACATATGATTTATTAAATGAAAGACTGTTGTATCAAATTATTTCTGATTCCACATTTCTGTCACTTGCAGAAGAGACAAACTGCAGCTTCAAATAAATCTAGGAGAAGCCAGCAAACACAATAGTATCACATAACTGATTTAGTCCATTTACTCGAAAAATTTAAATATTTTTACTCTAATACGCTGGTCAAAACTCTCTCTCCAACCAGATAAGGTGCTAATAAATTGACATTAATTAGTGTTTATAGGAATAACTGACTCAGCACTGAAAAAAAGACAGATGTGCATTGATTCATTTTATGTCTTGCCATGAAAATGTTTCTCTTTCAAAAAAAAAACCCCAACAAAACAGCAAAGTTCAGCTCTTCCAGTAACCCAACAGTAATTATGAATCATCTGCTCTTAACCCCTCTGTTACATAAGACCAAGTGTTGGGGATTACAGGACCAGCTTTAGGGCTCACGGTAGAGAGACGTTAATCAAATTGATACTTGGGAATAAAGCCTGATCTTGAACTTGCCTCGGTTCCTGCAGTCCAACCACGAAACGGGGAAAATGTAAGTGTGGCACAGCGCGGTGGCGTCTAGTTTGCCGCGGATCGGAATGGGTTCTATAGTTTGAGTGAGGTTGATGTTTGGGCCAAATTCCTCACACAGTAATTCAGGATCGATCTGCTTCAGCTTCCTGTCCTTAAGGCTGACTGGTTCTGCACACCTAGAACAGGAGATGTTTACAGGTTAACAGTAAATCAATGATGCTCTTATTAAATATCTGGTGGCATCGTTTACTTGGCATGATTCCCTAGGTTACGGTTGCTTGGGACTTGAAGAGTGCGTATGAGGCTTTCCATTGGACAGAGACATTTCCAGGGATTGTCGTAGAGACGCAGATAGTGAAGGTTTGGCATTGGGATGAGCGCCTCTTCGCTGAGCGTTCTCAGTTGGTTGTGTTGCAGCAGCAGGGTGGTTAGGTGAGTTAGACCCTGAAAAGCATCTTCATCCACTTGTGAGATCTGATTTTGTTGAAGATCCAGACTGGATAAACGTTCGTATCCAAGGAAGGATCCACCGCGGAGCGCTTTAATTTGGTTGCGGGCCAGAAGGAGATGGTTAGGTACTCTGGACCAGGTGCTTGAGCTGGGGATGAAAGTGAGACTTTGATCCTGACAATCCAGATAGACTTCTCCAGATTGAGTCATCTCTGAGCAGTTTGGTATCACAACGCCAGAAAGGCCCGATCTGCTCTGACGCCGCAGAGCCTTCATCCTTGACCTTTGGAAAAAAAAGTCCAGCATCTCATAATTTGTATATAAACACTGCACAAGTTGTACACATCAACACAGTGCTGTAAAAAGTATTCAACTCCTGACAGATTTTTATGTCACTTTATTAATTTTGCACATCTGTGCTCTCACATTTGACTAAAATATCACATTTCATGTTCATGCCATTAAATAAAACTATGAGACTTATTTCCCTCCGACCTGTGACGACTGTTGCATTTTGTGTGCTAAGTAATAATTTGTTAATGGGAATGATGTTTTACTTTATTTATTGCTGCCATTTGAGACGTGATGATCTGGCTACTTAACTTGTGAATGTTCCAGGGTAATTGTGTCAGTTCACCCAGAGTTTGGCAGATAAAACTTTAGATTTAGTAGTTTAGAAATATAAAATTGGTCCCCTGCTGCTGAAACTGTGGCTGTTGGTGATTATGTGTGTTTTCAGCCACTAAGCACAGTTGCGATTAGATGCGGGACAATAATAAATCACTCAACAGACCTCTGAAAAATTTGGCCCCCCTCACTTGGGAGATTAAGGTTAACGCCCCTGATCTGCTGTGATTCCTAAAAGCCCTCATCCTTATTCTTTGGAAACAGACAGAAACAAATCTCAGCTCACTATGACTTATAAACACCGGAGTCTCTGGAAACAGAATTGTAAACAGCAGTGAATCCATACCTTTCCCGTGTAAGTTTCTGCCTCTTAAGTCCTCGGCCCTTCCCTGGTCTCTTTGGCTCGGTGGAAGGGAGCAGCGAAAGAGCCACAAGGACTAAAAAGATCAGTGAGATCACACGCATCCTGAACTCTGCAGGGTGTTTATTTTCACCTACAGGAGCAAGAGTCAAAGCGGGAATCTGTGAAGAAAGTCTTCAGTCCGCTGTCTGACGGGCAGCTGTGTTGGTTTTGATGCAACACAGATTCTCTTTACTCTGTTGTGGAAAAAAAGCTCAAGTCAGCACATCATCAAAGAGAAGAGACATCACATAAAATTGATATGTATCGAGGTTTATTACTAGTACATAGATGAAAACAATTTAACAAGCCTTGCTTTGCTCATTTTGTTTTTTCTTTTCTCTTTTTTTCTTTCCTTTAGGCGAATGCAAAAACTTGCAGGAACTCAACTTGTCCGAGTGCTTGGCTATTTCTGTAAGTAAACTAGTATATGGTTTGAAAGTTGGAGAAAATCTTGAGACTAAAAAAAAAGTTTTTGGGTTATATATGCAGTTTTAAGGCTAAAACATTTGTCATGTTGATTTAATGCCACCCTGCATTAAATTACAGATTGGCAGGATTTCTGGAAACCACATTCCCCACACAAATGAATCACTCTGACTCATTTTTGTCCAGCAGTCGTAAATCTCTTTTTTCTTATTATTTTACAGTGTGAAGAAAAGGAAAGCAAAAGTTTACTGTAAACTTTTTGTAGTGGTTTTAGTTCCACTCTAATGTTACATTTGATCTCAGCTGCTGGTACCTGGATACTGGTATAAAGGCACAAAAAAGTTGGCCGAAACTTTCCATCCCACCGTTCACATGTTTAGTAATCCTTACAGTTCGATGACAGGTTATGTTTCTCTGCGTCTAAAGTTTTCCCTGTGCTGTGTACAGTTTCTCAGTTCCACCCTTACATGCTGCTGCCAATCAACTGCTAAACTTTTTCCAACCTCTCAAAACATAAAAGTTTGACTCTTTGGAAATATTCAGCATTCAAAAAGTGAATATGTTTGTGGCATGACCAGTAAAGGACTGCCACCATATCACTGTTGGGAAGCTAGAAGCTGCATATCTGTTCAGTCAGACTTTATTTTGTTTTTTATTTATGTAAAGAAAAAGTGTGATTGGCTAATTCTAGTTCTGCAGCCGATTCAGACAATGTTATCAGCTAATATATGGTTAATCTACATGCTTTATTACATAAGGAAAAAACTGTAAACGCATGTAAGAATCCATGCAATGAGCTTTTTACAACTACTAGATGAAGCAGTAATAATAATAAAAAAAGGTTAATCAAATAATATTTATTTTAGCCGCAATTGGAATTTTGTTTTCTTTGCTATTTTGATATAAAAGTGAAATAGCAATGGTTTTGTTCTAAATTATAATGTAAGTACATCAAAAGCCTGAAAGTTCAACCCGATGCTCAGACCTTTAGTTTCGTACCAGAAAATGACAATGTTTAATTATTAACAGCATAATCTTTGTTTTCACATAAACTGAGTCTTAAATGTCTTTCCAGAAAATGAAAACCCAAAATGAAATGTTTTCTAATAATAGTCCGCTTCAAAATAAAACATGTAAATCAATCTTTGTGACGCTGAGAGAGACATTTTACATTAAACTCTGCTCTTTACCAGGATATGATGATTCACAAAATCACAGAGGGATGTCCGTGCCTGCTCTACCTGAACCTTTCTTACACACTCATAACCAACCAGTCTTTGAAAGCAATATTCAGGTAAATATTGTGAAATAAAAGCTCCAGATTTAGCTTTTTCTACCCTATATGTACACTTTTTTTTTTTTAGTCTAGACGAGCTTGAAATCAGTCACCGCAGTAACAATAAAAAATATCAGGCAGTTCTTTTTCTCAAATAGGAATTGCCACAGCCTTCAGTACCTGAGTCTGGCCCACTGCCGCAGATTCACAGATGATGGATTTACAACCCTGACCACAGAGGAAGGTGGTCGAAATCTCATCCACCTCGACTTAAGCGGATGCCTTCAGGTCAGCCATTTTGCTTCTTTTGGTTCCTAATCAATACAATCGAAGTCTCCTGATGACCAAAGCGACAGTTTACTCCTAGACTCAGTTTCCAACTACTGCATCCACTCTCCCGTTTGCACGTGTCTGATCTTGTTTCTCCCTCTGCACTGGGGCGCATCGGAGCGAATGGGGGAAGGTCTGTGAAAGTTTCAAAACATCTAAGTGGAGGGGTTGGGTTTACACACCCACCCTCTCCGCATGTGTACACCATGTAACATTTGCACTCATTGCTCCGGGGACGAGCATTAGCTGGGATCCAGATGTATGGTTTTCACCATGAGATCATAAGAATGCAGAAAATGCCAAAAAAAAAAGCAAAACGCAGAGAAGTGGGTGAAAACCCACTTTCCCCCCTCTCTCTTCACAGATGACACCCAAAGGGTTCGATTACATTTCTACAGGATGCCCGTCTCTCAAAGAGGTTGTGATGAACGACATGACAACTCTGTCAGACACCTGTGTTTTGGTAAGAGTTTATTTCTGCAACATTTCAGAAGTCACACAAAGTAAACCGGATGTTACTGAGATCATAAACTCTGGCGTATTATGTGATGTGCATAAACAACATCAAATCAACGCTGAAGCAACACAGTTCCTTAAAAAGTATTCATACCCCCGTATATTTAACTTGGGTATTTTGTTGTGGACCAAAAACAAAGAGGTGCATCACAGTGAAGAAGAAGCAAGAAAGTTCAAGCTAAGTCAGAATAGATGTAGATGTTTGTCAGCATCCATCATCAAGTCTTCCCATAGAGTCTTAATTTAATTTAGGTCTGGACTTTGACTAGACTATTGTAACAGACAACTGTACAGCTTTTGCTCTATGTTTTAATGTCTTTAACTGGTGGAAAGCAAAACTGAAAATGAGGAATAGAGCTCCCACAGCTTGATGCAGCCACCACCATGTTTCACCATGAAGGTTTTTTTGTTGTTGTTGTTTTTAGGGTAATGTGCATTGCCTGTTATACTCAAACCCTCTTAGCATGTTGCACAGAGGGTCGAGTGTCATCTGGTCACGGTGTTTCGTGTTTGTTTGGTCTCTTCATGGCTTGTGGCAAAATGCAAAAAAATACTTATGGCTTTTTCCCCCCCAACAATGGATTTTTTCTTTCCAAATTCGTACAATTGTACAATAACTGAGCAGTAACTCTCTGCAGCTCCTGCAGAGTTACGAAGGGCCTCTTTGTTCCTTCTCTAATTCATGCTCCTCCTACGTGGCCTGTCAGATGTAGTGAGTGGACGGCCATGTTTTGGTAGGTTTGAAGTTGTTATATTCTATTGTCAGATTGATTAAAAACTCATTTATGGGATGTTCAGAGATGTTTATTCAGGATTTAAACCTCTCCACTCTATCCCAGTCTTGTCTGCTGTGTGTCCTGGTCTGCATGACAATATTTGTTCACAGTTGTTCTCTAGAGAGCCTTTGAGGCGTTCACAGAACATCTACATTTATACTGAGACTATTTACTACTTGGATTCAATTCAATTACGTATTAAAGTAAATTGTAAATTGCAATATGAGTACAAATTCATGCTGAACTTTTCTTTTTTCTTTTAACTGTGTCACTTTCTTCCACTCCCACTTCACTTTTGTTGGTATTTCTTATAAAATCTAAAAGTTTGATTCGGTAATACGACTTTATAAGTCAAAGGGTATGAATTCTTTTTCAAGGTGGTGCTGTAAAAGTGAAAAAATAATGTTTTTTTTTTTTTCTTTTTCTACCAGGCCCTACTTTCCAAGTGTTACACTCTGTCCTCCATCTCTCTAGTGGGCTGTCCTCTCCTGTCCGACATCACCTTTAAAGTCATGGCAAAAGTAGCCAATCTGAAAAGTTTGAGTATAGAGGGTGAGACCATTTTGCATCCTGCTGCTGTTCTCTTTCTTAGCCATGTGTGGATGTTATGCACTGAGGCAGGAACATGTTCATGTGTGCTTCAGGCAACAACCAAATAACTGATGTGACCTGGGAGGCCCTGTGCAGCTTCTCCGCTGGTCTCAACAAGCTGCATGTGGTAGACTGTCCTGGAATGACTGATGATGGCATGAGATATGTGGCCATGCTCAGACACTTGAATTACCTGGATGTTTCACTCTGCAGCAGGTGGGTGCAGGTTGTGTTGGCTTCATTTGCTGAATCGATGGAATTACGTCATGGCGTTCTCCATCGTGTCTTTCAGGGTGAGTGATGCTGGAATCAAATGTTTGACTGAAGGTCCCTCAGCAAACAAACTGCATAACTTTAGCCTTAGTCAGTGTTGCCTCATTAATGAGTTCTCCATCAAGAGGATTGCACGAAGGTATTTAGCAACGTTCAACTACAGAGCTCATCCTATCCTGATAGTTAATCTACATTTTCCCTAAATGGGATTCATGGCCTGCACAAAAAAAGTAAAATGTTGCAATTTTGTGTTTGGGAAACAATTTATTAGGTTGCATAAACTGTTCCACCTTAATTTGAGTTACTGTGAGAGGGTGACAGACCAGGCTGTGGAGAACCTGAATGGCAGCTCCATCCAGTCTCTGGACTTGACTGGCTGCAACATCCGAGATCAGGTACTAAACCACGTTGCTTGTTCTCCGTCTCGATGACTATTACAGTGTTCTCTATTTTAGGGACTGGCTTCACTTCAGAAGATCCGTCTAAAGAAGATTGTCATTGCCAAGTGTATATTCATCACCGATCAGGGCATAGAGGTACACAACTTTCAGTCATTAGTGGCCTCAAGTTTATTTCCTTCTGGATATTTTTTGTAGAATCATCTCTCCCTTTAGAAGCAGATGTGAGAAAGAGAAGATATCAGCACAGTTTTATATCCCTTTTTATGCCTTCTTATTTTCCTTCCGGACAGAGGCTGTGCGAGAACGCGAGAGATCTGGAGTACATTGACATTTCCCAATGTCCGGCTCTGACTGATGCAGCAATCAAAGCCATTTCATTTTTCTGCAGTTGTCTCCTCAGACTGAAGATGGCAGCGTGTCCACAGGTTCAGTTTGCATATGCATATGGAGTAAAGTGTTTGTATTTTTCTCCTAACAGAAATTCTTCAGTTCTTGCTTCTTATTTAAGTTTTTCAAATAAAAAAATAGTTTGATATGAAATTAAGAACGCTACTGTCAAACGCTATTCAACCCACGTCACCCTGTATGAAAAAAGTTATTTCTCTGCAAGTCAACCAGATACCAATATAGGTATTGGTATCTGTATCGATACCAGCATCAAGCACTGGGATTCATACCTGTAAAAACAAAACGATATCACGATATCCCGCCATCTGAAGTCAGATGGTGGGAGGGTGGCCAAAATGTCCAGAGTTTGGAGATATGTCAAGGAAAACACAAAGGATGATAAATAAAACAGACTGCCCTCTGTGCTTAGCCGAGCTGAAAATGTGTTTCAAAACAAGAAAATGTGTCTCAACGAGTAATTTGATAAACTATTTACAGATCGAACAATCCGTGTGTCATGCTCTATTTATGATTTGTTGAAACAGTTAAAGTGATTACAGGTTTAAAAAGAAGAGCCCCCCTGTTCTAAATAAATGTTAGTTTAAAAAAATCTATCGTGTGACGTTTAAGTACCAATTTGTTAACTACTTGTTTTATCGGTACTTGGAGTCCCAATACCAGAAAAATCCGGTATCTCCTAAAATCAACCATCTGACTCTTGGTGTCAACAGCCAACAAGCATTTCTCATAAGTGGTGGTGAGTCTTTTACATCTCTGTGAATGAATTTTGGAGGATTCTTCTAAACCAGCCAAACTGGAGTCTTTGGGATTGATGATGCTTCCCATTTAAATCCAAACTTTGACTAGGCTGCCCCACAACCTCATGTTTTCTGTTTCTGATGTTTAATAGTGGACTTGCTGATGTGCTTTGACATTATCCTGGATTTTCTGGTTCCATCAATATTATCCAGATTTTGAAGCAGCAGCACAGCAGCCCAAACACACAGTGTTTGATTGTGCTCTTTTTCTGATATGTGATTTTAGTTTTCAACCCAGATTTAAATGGGTGTACTGCTCTTCTTACCAACCCACAGAATATTTTTAATGAATACATTTTTCACGTAGCACCAGGTTGACTTCATATGTGAAAAATACATTTTGTATTTATTTAGATTTTCTTTGCTGATACTAAAATTTGATCTCCAACATGTGAGCAGATACTTCTTCTCAACACTCGGATGCACACTCACTATTAAATATTATCTTTCTTTAGCCGCTACAGTTCCTCGTTTTGTTTGTGTTCAGATGACAGATATGGCGGTCGTGTATCTGACCACTGGCTGTCAGTACCTGCGAGAACTCGACCTGAGTGGCTGCAAACTCCTCACCGATCGCTCTCTTAAAAACCTAAAAAAGATTTGTCCTCCACTCACCACCATCAGATTAAATGACTGTGCAGGCATCTCATGGTACATTAAAAGTCAAAAGTCTGACATCTGCACGCTTTGCGAGAGCTTGTCTAACAAATGTCCTTTTTTCTTTTTAAAGGGAGGCTGCTGTGAAACTGAAAAGACGCCTCTCGCACTGGGAGTATAGCGGCGACACATCTTCCTCCTGGTTCGATTGCAATGTACACAAGATTGCAATGATCCCGAAGGATAATGACTCATGGGTAACGGAGAGGGACATTGGAAAGTCATGAACAGCAATTACATCCAGAAAGCTCGAAGTTCTGTTTAAATACAGAAAAACCTGGAGGAACGATTATCTTCAAGCAGAGGTCACAACCTTAAGTTCTCAAAGTCCGGTGTGCTGTGACTTTTAGATGCATATTTCATGCAACCTGCCGAATGGTTGAATTGCCTCCTCAGCTGGCAACTAGAAGCTGCAGAGTCCTGCTGACGACATTGTTATTTGATTCAAGTGAGATGCAGCAGAGGTGCACCTAAAAGCTGCAGACCAACATCAAGGGCAGAAATTTGAGGCCCCTGTTTCCGATCACTCCAACCATCGATTTAGGAGCTTTTGTACATTTCTTATTAAAGTGTTTTTATTTTCACTGATATATTTCAAACCAATTATAAACCAGGTAATAATTCACCTGGCTTTGCCATGGTAATTCACTAAAAGGTCTAGACCCTTTTAGTCTTTCTTTTTATTTTTTTTTTTTTACTTAATTGTTATTTTGTGCCCTTTCACAGAAGAACTGGTCAACAATTTCTAAGAGCACAAACTGTAAATGAGACAAATAAAGTTTAATATTTACTAAAACGTGTTAATATACTTACTTTTATAAAGTAAAAACTGTGCAGCAACAATGACATGTTCTCCACGTCTTGTTCTTCACTCGAAAATGCCTTTTACATTGATTTTAAAGAGATTTTTAAAGCTATCTGTAATTATTTTGTTGAGTGATTTATTAAAGAACCTATTATTTTATTAAAATATCTTTTTTAATCATGTAAAAAAAAACACTAAATACACACAGTCACAATACATTGATTGTGTGATTTGACATGAACATTCAAAAGACACTTTAAATTAAATTATATTTTTGAGTGCACTGTGAAGACAGGAGAATAACTTTCAGCTGTTCGCATAGTATTAATATCCGGTTTTCGGCCCTGAGAACATTGCGATGCATCCGGTCACTTAGCTCCCGAGCTTCAGGGACTCAAACCAGCTTTGCGTCCTCAGCTGGACGGATCCTCTGTCTGTCCGAGCTTTGACCCACTGGTCATCAGGAGGTTCTCCACTCATATAGCCTGAGACAAACGCATTAATGTCATGTTTCATTCACTGGTTGGAGGTTTTCATGTCATTGTCAAGTGAAGAAACAACGGATGGTAGGAGCTCACCAGTCAGTGTGGTCCGGCCGTCTGCGGTGTGTCTTTGTTCATCATGCAGAAGAACCTCTGGGCTGACGTTCACCGCCGTGCCGCAGAGATTTACACCGGCTCTCAACGAAGACGGGACACGCACACTCACCGCTCCTACATGACACAAAGATTGAAACTAAATCAGGAGCACAGGAAAAAGTGGGCTCTGTCTACGGCATACTTACCGTCCTGAGTGTGGAGGTCAGCGGTGCCACCGTCTCCCACGTAGACATCAATGCTTCCGCTAATAGAGGAAACCTTCAGGAAACTATTTGAACCATCTGCAGGAGCAAAGCAAACCTCAGACTTTGATAGAAACCATGCGTGGGTCAGTCTGCAGCCAGCCAGCCTGCTTACCAACAACTGTATCCCCAGACTTGTTCTCCACTGTGGCGTTACCTACAATGAATTAAAAAAACAAGATTAAATAACCTCATCACTACCTGCACTTCACCACGCTGAACAGAAAATAAATATCTGAATACTTTAAGCACATCTTGAGTTGTAACACATTACATTACATAGCTGAAATTCACATTCAGGAATACAATAAAATTGTTATTCAATCAATTTTATTTATGAAATATTTCTCAGGATTGTTTGTGATCAACGATGTCACTTTTTACTGCTAACTTGACTTTATAGCCATCTTAAAGCAAAATAGTTGAAAGGTTTGTGGTAGATTGGGACCACATTGTGCTTAAATCAACTGTGACTGGATCTGAGCCCGAGATTCCTTATGGCTCAGCTTTACCAAGAGATTTAACCTAAAGCAGCTGTGGACCAGAATGTACTGGAAACTGCTAAACGAAACAGTTGTTTTTCTGAAGTAAAGTTTCTTTAAGCATTATTTAAACCCTTAAAATCATTGAGTCTGGTGAAGGTTGTCATAGATCAGCGTTTCTCAGTTCCAGTCCGGAAGGAGCACCGCCTTGAATGTTTTAGGTGTTTCTCTGCTGCCATGCATCTGACTTGAATAAGTGGGGGATTAACAGGATTTTGCAGCACTCTGTGGCATGCAGGGGAAGTCAGGCGGTCATTTGAATCAGGTGTTCTGGAAGAGAACATGCAGGGCAGTGGAGAAATCTGGCCAAGATCAATATCTGTGCGGTCAAATCTGGCATGTTTGGTTCACAAGTTTTCAATGTTTGTAGGATTTAAGTTAATGTAGAATATATTTATGTTAAAAGATTTTGTGCAGATTATTTGGATAATACTTACAAGATTAATGAAATAAGGAAAACAAATTACCAGAGTTGGGTAGTAACTAGTTATATTTACTCATTTATGTTTACCTGAGTACATTTTTGAGGAAAATAAATACCTTTTGGTATATTTGAACTATGCTACACTTTTACTGTTACTTGAGTAATTTTATCACGGAGTGTTGCTATTATTTGAGTAAAATGTCTGGATGCCTGAGTAACTTCACAAAGTGAAGAACAAATTTGTTTTAACTATATAATTACCAGACAGAAACGCACAACTGTAGTTTTTACTAAAGTTTCTAATTGAAAAAAAAATATTTAAGTTTTTTTTTGCCTCATTTTGTCATTATTTTATTTATGTGAATTGTTTCCATTTTGATATTTAAACTACCAAAATTTCCAATTTTTTTCCATATTTTGGTTAGTGTGACGATGTAATTCTTAAATACAAAATGATCGATAATTTGATCAGTTACTCAGTACTTGAGTGGCTTTTATACCAAATACTTTTTTGCTCTTACTTGAGTAATCTCTTAAATTGCTACTTTTTCCTTTTCCTTGAGTAAAATGTTTGCCTCAGCATGCTGCATTTGAATTTTTTTGTGACTTTCTAAACCCTGCTGGTCTTCGACTCACACTGTTAACACAACCTGGTTACCTGGTTTTTACGATGTTACGATGGTTTTTACGATTTTAATTGACGGCACCTGGTTTTTAAAAACCAGGTGCCGTCAATTAAAATCAGATGTGCTGAAGCAGAGAAACATCTGAAACATGCAGAGCAGTTAAGATGTGTGTAACCAAGTATGAAAACAGCAGTGAAAACAGGAGAAGGGGATTATATATGCAGAGAGTCACGTATTCTGGAGGAAACAGGAGAGAGGAATTCATATTAGTGTATTGCAATAGGCCATACAAATATGAATTGCCTTTTATTTATTATAGGGAAAAGTGACACTGAATCCAGAAAATGTGGGTGCTAATGTTTTATGACCCTATGTAAGCAGATTTAGGAAGCCTTAGCATCTACATTTAGGTGGTGGTAATTCAATGCAGTTAAACTCCACAGAAGAAAAAGGAGAGTATGACTTGTGTTTTTATTTAGACACCCTTACTCTGATACCCCTAAATAAAATCAGGTGTCACACTTAACTGTGCCAACTGAGTATGGCAACCAAGACATGGCTGTTCAGCTAAGCTAACAGGCAGTTCGAGTGGAGCATTGATCTGAGGAGCAAAGACCCAACGCTCTGTTTGGAGAATGAATTAAGAGGAAGCTATTATTCCTGGACTCAATAAATCAAATGTTTGTGGAAGAGTGCAGAGAAGAAAGAAAATGGCAACCCAGCCATGCACACATGAATTAGTAGAAGTGAGAAACGTTTTCTCACCGTGCACATGACCCAGTTCTACTCTCCCCGAGCAGGAGAACACACGGCTGGACTCGGCATAGACCGCTTTGACCTTCAGAGCTCCGTGCTCCGTGGAAATGTTCATCCTTGTGCCTTGAAGCTTCTTGACATCAACCACCTGCAAGATGAGACCTCAGGTGACCGCACACAGATGTAAACACACACCACTTCAGATCAGAACACACAACATTTAACTCACTGGTGCCGACGGCTGCAATAGGACGCTGCTACCCCCTAATGGCTGCTAAGAATAAGACCGAAGAGCTGCAGAAACCCTGTCCCACTTACGCTGTCTCCCTTTGTGCTGATGTCCACGTTGCCATGGATGGTGCCCAAACCTGTAACGTGTCCGCTGTGGGACCTCACCTCCACTTGATGTCCCTGAGACATCACAAGAGGATGAGGAGTTAAGCCAGTTTCAGATATTTGACGGTTTAACACAATCAATGATTATAAAACTGATGCATATCAATTCTTCACATCATTATTTTGTCTATTTTAAGGCATAAAAATCGCTACAGATTTATTTTTGCAAGTGTCTTTAAATTACTTCCCTTCTTTCATCACCTTTTTTTGTACATTGAAGCCAATAAGAAAGTGGAAACTATAAGACACAATTTAAATAAAGATATTAAATAGTTTTTTTAATATTTGAATAAATATAAAAATGTGTGTGTGTTTTTTTTCCATATAAGTAATAAACTTTTGCTAGAGATGAAATTAAGCATCTCTGACACAAACATTAACATACATTATTACATCACTCTGTTACAATCCACTTCTTTGGCCTTACTCTGGTGAGTAGTAACCAATTACCAAGTACTCATATTAATCATTTTCTCGTGCCATACTTTTTACTGATTAATATTATTTCACACTAACGTTACTTTTACTTTAGTCAGATTTTGGCCACTCTACACACCTCCAGTTATGTCATTGAACGAACAGCAAGAATGTTTTAACTCAAAAATGCCCCAGACACAAACATTATGCTAAACTGGGGCTTATTGTTTTTAACAAACTGTACTGATGCTATTTTTAGGCCTAATATAGAATTTTCAGGCCAAATGCTACAAATACTTTATGTTGCTACTAAATACTCTATACTTGTACTGAATTGTACTTGAGTACAATTTCTGCCTTTCTATGATTTTGATATGTTGGTTACATCTATCTATCTATCTATCTATCTATCTATCTATCTATCTATCTATCTATCTATCTATCTATCTATCTATCTATCTATCTATCTATCTATCTATCTATGAGGAAATACCAACTTTAACAGAGTGAAGCAAACAGCTGCCCTTTTCTGTTTGCACTTTGCAGACATCACTCTCCATCCTCTTCACCTGCACGTTTCCTCCTCCTTCAGTAGTGATGAAGAGATCTGTCAAAAGCACGCAGGTTCATTAAGCTCCATGTTTGTATGCGCAGCTTTGTCATTATTGTAAAAACTCACTAGTTTTGATTGGTGCGTCCATCTCAATCGTGACGTCGCTGTTCACCCTCTCAGCAGAGATGAGCAGCTCCTGGCTCTGTCCATCATAGTGGACATGCAGGTCCTCCGTGCAGCCCCCCCGGTCACTGTCCGGACCGTGGACCGAGATCAGGGCTCGGTTTGC